TAACAAGGTCACTATAGAATACTGCCATTTATTCATACTGTCTAGGGTTACTAACTGATTAGTTACTATGGGAAACCAGAAATGTAGTGAATGATAATTCATGGGGAGTATTTTTAAGCCATAAATATGTTAAGAAATACTGAATAAATGATTACTACTTCTTTTAGCTACACATCCATCATAAACCTCATCAAATGGCTAAACTGTTTGTCTGTCAAGACAAGTTATTTTCAATTCCCAGTGGTAAAAGCCGAAAACAGAAAAACTACACATACCTAGTACTAAAGAAAATCAGTTAATACGGGACAGTAAGTATGCTGCATAAGTGTCCAGTTGAAATTGTTATTCAGCTCAGAGATAGGCGATAATAACAACAACTTATTTTCTGAGGGAGACAAATCTCAACTAAATCAATGCAAGCGTCCGTCAGTTTCACGGGGAATGACACAAAGCCACACGTTATAGGTACGTTGTTATCACAGAGGCCGAAAGCCTGCTAATAAATTTTATGCGTGACCCATAAAAATCAAGTTAAAGACTACGTTTGAATAGTCCTCTAATAGTAAACAAACGGAGCCCATAACGCATTTTCAAATAAACCTTTACTGACTGGTCATTCTAAGTCTGTATCTGTGTATAGCCAGTGCATATCAGGCTGTAGTAAGTTACCAATGTTTATTACTTATATTATTTGTGCCTTGAATTACTAATGGAACATAAAGCTTCAGTAGCATGTCTCCATTCCATTCTGTTCCCTGAAATCTTTTGAACCTAACTACACGACTCTCCACAAGCTCTCATTTCTCCCTCACACCATCTCTTCCATGTCAACCTCGCCTCGACGCCCAACTCGTCGCTTCCCATCTGGGTTCCACTACCAGGCCTGGCCTGACACGCGATGTCCACACTCCGCCTTCTCAGTGTATGCCCAATCTATCTCCACTTCCTTCCAATGCACATCTGTTGGGCGATAGGTTCTCGGTTAGTTGGTTCGTTGCCCAGCCAGAGTTCCTTGTTGCTCATCCTTATCATTCTGGCCATCTGAGCTTCAGTAGCGAGCCAACGTAGGCAGTTGTTGGAAATGCTTTTCGAAACGCGCCAAGTCTCTCAACCATCATACAGAAGCACTGACTTGATGTTGGTGTTGAAAATCCGCATCTTGTTCATGCTTTATGCTGAGTGCAGTGCAGAAGATCTCCACACTGGTTTAAGGCTAATGAACGCCTGTCTTGCTTTTCCGATCCTGACTTTGATATCCTCGTCTGTGCCACTGCCGCCTGTAGTTGAGACGATGCTGCCCAGATAGGTGAAAGAGGTTACTTCCTTTAAGTTTCTCTCGTTGATGGTGATTGGAGCTTGTTGTTGTTGTTGTGGTTGTTGGTGTTGTTGGTTGGGTATCTTCATCACCTCTGTCTTCTTTACATCCACTTGAAGTTCTGTCTTTCTTCGCTGCCCTGCTTCTGTCAACTTGTTAGTTTTCGCCTGTAGATCTTCAAGTTTGTGTGAAATCAGACACAAGTCATCGTTGGCGAAATCCAGATCTTCTAGGCTCATTTCCATGATCCAGCGTATCCCCCTCTTCTCACAGCTCCTTACTGTTTGTTGCATGATCCAGTCGACCACAGTGAGAAGGATCATGGGTGATAGTAGGCGACAGCCTTGTTTCACTCCTGTCCTCACTTCAAAAGCATCACTGAGATCTCCACTGTATATCACTTGGCATGTGGCGTCGTCATATAGTCGTTGAATGAGATTGATAAATGTTTGTGGTATTCCGTAGTGTTGAAACAACTGCCAAATTACTTCTCGATCAACTTTGTCGAATGCCTTTTCAAAGTCAATGAATTTGAGGTAGAGATCCAGTTGACTGCCATTCTATGCTCTGTGTATGATGATGTGAGGCGTTGCAATTTGATCCGCATATGATTTGTACTTCCTGAATCCAACAAGCCTGTTCTGGTCGTAGTTTTGAATCTAGTGCAATTCTTAGTCTGTCCAAGATGATGCGGCATAATATTTTACTTGGAGTGGACAGAAGAGTGATTCCTCGCCAGTTCTTGCACGCACTTAGTTCGCCCTTCTTCGGGAGTTTGACAAGGTAACCCATCTTCGAATCTATTGGCAGGTACTTTCCCTTCCTTCCGGACCTTCTGCAATAGTGGTGCGGGCATGTCTGCTGTTGTCTCTGCGTCTGTTTTCAGTGCTTCTGGCGGGATTTCATCTAGTTCTGCTGCTTTCCCGCATTTCAGTAGCTTTATGGCGTTCAGGACTTCGACTTTTTTTGGAGGATTTGTGTTCACTTGTAGTTCTGTGACTGCAGGTGCAGTTACGAATGTAGACCATGATTTTTATGTTGTGTATTTGCTTCAAATGTTCGAAGTCTTTAGTTTTATGGACTTCGAATTTACAATATAATCAGTGTGTTTGGTTAGGTATCTGCTCTTACTGTCCAAGGTGCTGTTGGCATTAGTGCACTTAAAAATCCTATTTTGACATCTTTCAGTAGTTTTTAGATTTTTCTGAGCACCTGCAAATCATCACCTATATACTTCAAGTAAGTCAAGAGAAGAATATCTCCTGTGCAAAATTCATTTCGAAATCTACGAATATAAGAGTTTATCATTTGTCCTAAAACTTTCACTGGGTGAAATACATAACAGAAAAGCCTAGTGTAGTAGTACCATATATGGATGCAAAATGGACAAAAAATGGACATTAATAAAGGTACTCATTAAGGGTTCAAGGTTAAGTAAGGCCTATGAAGACTCAACACTCATTAAAAGTATGTTTCAACATCATTCTGTGTTCTTTGACCGCCGTGTCTATATGAGTGAGTCACTGGCATATCCCATAACATATTGCCTTCATTTCATAATATTCAAACGGTCACACAATAATATGAAACGTTAGGTTCTGGTTGCGTCTTTTAAAAGATGCTTAAATTTTTGAACCTTGCAAGACCTGTGAACGCTTAGCATAGCATAGATTTTATCTGTGAAACCCGCTGACATACAGGTGGAGTTACTTCAGAGGAACTCATTGTTTAATAATCTGAGGAGTTTTGATTATGAAGAATATTTAGCTCAATTACTTCTTCTATCTGGTGTAAGTTGTTCAGAAACTTTTCTTCACTTTGTGGTCACATCATAGGCAAGTGGTTTTTTCAAGAATTGCTGAAATTTACTTCTTAAGGTCACACTGTTTCATCTTTTTTAAACAATAACTATTCATATTTCTTCATGATGACAGTGAACGTGCCCAATGCATTTTACGGGAAGACTTAGTTAAATTGAAAGTAAGATTTTATGAAGAGTTCAATGAATTGTATCTCTTATACACTTAAAAAAATGACTATCAAAACTCGTTTAGAAAAGTGAATTTCAGATTAATTTCAAATATTAAGGAAAAAATGTGTTAAGGTCAAATTTAACAGTATTCCTCAGTTATAAACGGTAATGACTTGTTTTTTACTCATTATGATTGTGACAGTGAGAGAACTTCTAAAGATTGTCATTATTATTGTCATGTAACCTTCTCCATAAACTGGACAAAATTTAGACTTTCTCATACACTCAAACTGTCAGTCCATGGTATAGACAGGTTCATCATGTATGTATCGGCTGTATAAGTTTTCATTCACGTCAAAAAGACAGTTTTATGCCATAGCACCACTACAAGCTTAATCAATAGGACTGTGTCTTCACTTGTTAATTAATAGTAGAATGTTTGTTACTCTTTTTCACCTGTTACTACACATTATTTCACCGAGTCTACTTGTTAAAATGAATATGCACCACTCATTGGGGTATAGGTGTATGTAGTTGAGGAGTCCCGAAGTGAACGAAACACGCGCCCTGGATTCTACTGCTGATCATCAAATAGACTACAATGTAAATACGCCTATTTTCCAAATGCTTCTTCCATATCTTAATGGTATTCATACAGAATTAGAGTACAGAAAGTTATCTCATCGTTCTTATCTTTGAAGTAACAGTAAAGTTATGAACTTATTGACCACTTACAAGTTTCAACTTTCCCTTTATCCAGTTTGGTCACTAACTACTTGATGTGCGTATTGAGATTAATATTTCGATGTGATAGAATAGCTTGCTAAAAGAAGGTAATACCTCTCATTTCAGTGTCATATTAAGTCTAATATGCATAGCAGAAATATTTTGCGCATAATATAAACACTTCGATACAATGATAATTTTAGGTAGGCAGAGTTTTAAACGCTATGCAGTTACTAAGCAGCTAAGTTATATCATTATTTTAACTTAGCTATCCCATAATTCTCCTCTGAAATAGTGAATTATGCTGTATAAAATTGTTGATTCAGTAGCTTTGTTAGTCAGATAACTTTTGCTGCTGACATATTGCATGCCATCAATTGTACCGACTTCATTTCATGCCAGTTATATATGAGAGACTTTCACGAGATAAGCACAGAAAAAGACAGATATATATATATATATATATATATATATATATATATATCATATTTACATCGACCTCTTGCGCTGTCTCGGTTTTCTCTGATTTTCACTTAGCAACGAGAACGATACTGTTTACAGCGAGAAAAAAAGAACTACAGCCATTGATAACAATCCTGATCCTTCAGCTATTGCCTACTTGTTTAGATGAAACGAAAGAAGCTTGCACGATCATAGTTTTCTAAACTTTCTCTCTCTCTCTCTCTCTCTCTCTCTCTCTCTATATATATATATATATATATATATATATATATATGCACCTTCTGAAAATAATATAGAAATTTTGAAGGCATCTTCCCATATGACTTCTTATTTCACTGAGAATAATATTGAAAAATTGATGATTATTGATGATATTGTGTAGAGCAGCGTTGTAAGTCTTGTTCTGATGAGTGTTAACTGAGACATTTCTACCATAAATTTTACTAAAGTGTACAGCTCTTTATTAACCGCTTTACAGTTTATATTTATTAGAACTAAGGTAGGCTGAGTATGAATGAAATGTGAATGGTTTCTTTCAACGGACCGTCTGATTTTGTATTCATTACTGAAAGTAGGTTCTACTTTTCTGTAACTCAGTATTTTACGAATCAGAAGTGATTTGTTTTTTGCTTCACCTTGAAAACGCCTTAGTGAACAGTGCATGAGTTTCGAAAACTTCACGATATCGGAAAGCAATCTTCCCAGGAGCTGAAATCTGGAAATACAAGTGAAATGCAACTCCAAGTTTTTCAAGTTTTACGTAATTCATAAACTACCAAACTATAATACTTAGACTGTCTAGGTGAGCTGAATTTCCAAATTTTCTGGAAAGTTATTCCTCTTTGTCTCACTCCTAAGTGATAGAAGTAGGAATTAAATTTTCGCCCTTCTTCTTTGTATATTTATGTAAGGCACTCACTTATTTGATTATTTCGGTTTTCAGCATGTTAATTCGTTTGTCTCCTGAAGGTTTTGTGACTGTTTTCATCAGATTATCATTTAATAATTTATTTCTGTCATCAATTCTTGTTTGTTTATGCAGCTGATGCACTGAAAGACTTATGTCATCACCGAAGTAAGTTATCGTCTGGGTGCGATAATCAAACAGATCCTGAACATTTGGAGTTTGAGCACGAAGAACCATTAATGTCAACAACCATTAACACATATATTCCTCCACAAAGTCCACTAGTATCAGAAGGAACTGAAAAATTTCAGCTTATGCATACATCACCAGAGAATGAGCAGCCAAAACCTCTTTCACCGTCAAACATCTATAACATGCCTGTATTACAAAGTCCACTAGATGTGAGTATCAGTCAGATCGATGGAACAAATGAAGCGGTAACACGAGGACCATTACCTCCTCCACCAGATATATATTCTTATATTGATACATTTGATGATATATACTTGACACCTACTAATAATGAAGGTAATTATCCATGGTCTCATAAATTATATAATAATCCCCCAAAAGTTGAACAAATGACCAACCTTCAAAAACATGAGAACCTGCCAACAAACAGTGGACGACAGATTGACCAGAATTCGATCTGGTCAGAATCATGGATACCAAAATTTCAGCATACAGCAGTTAACCATGCTATACAAGTAAATAATCATAAAAAAACAATTAAAAAGGTTTGATAATGCTACTGCTTCCTTCTCCTATTCTCATTCCCTTTCAGAACCTAAATACTTTACGCTTAAGCATTTTCTTTTTCAACTGTGTGAAAAAGCACTTCAGGAAAGCACTACATGTTTTGTAATTTTATCCTCAAATTATCTGGAAAAATATTTGTAAAGACGAATAACTTACATAGATGTTTGATCTTCATGTGTTAAGTAATCTTTTAATTTAAAATATCATTTTTATACAAATGGGATAATTTAAACAAAGTTTCACAGTACGATGTAATAAAGCTACTTTTGCATCTTTATATAACTAATGAATTTTGAAATTTTTGACCTTTGAAAGACATTAATTCATACAAAATAGGGTTTTATTTTGCCACAAACAGATACCACTTTTCGACTTCTAGGTTTGATATTCAATGAACAGTAGATTAAACGAACTTGTAACTTCATTTCATTAAATGTATCATGTATACATAATAGTTATAAAATTTCTGATGCTATTTGTTAGGTCTCCATCAGTCGTGCATTGAACAATGCTTTTAATTTCGAGACTGTGATGATGCAGTCTACCGTTCTTCATAATATGGATGCATCTAGTAACCATACGATAAGTAAAAGTACTCCCATTTGTGCTTAAAAGCAATAAAGCTAAATGAACAATTCTGACGCTAAATGTAAATACAAATAGCTGATTGTGGTTTTGCGAAATCTGCAGCGATTCAAGTCCTGTTGGAAGTTACACTAGTGTCTAGTTATCGACTGAACATTCTGCACGAATGGATGAAGTAATATGAGATAATAAGGTTACCAAGTTACTGAACTTCTATATTGTTAAATGAAACTGTTTCACTACTCTAAATCACTGTGGCTGTCTCTAGACTTTGACATGCGGTATTTTTTTTATCCTACGAATTTCCAGTTTCAATATTTTAATGGGATCATAACGCATACATCACACCTTCAGCATTTTTGATCGAAAAAAAATCGTCAACTGCTGATTATAAAATCTGAGTGAGTGAGCTTTTCCACAGTTCTGAAGAACAAATCATCCTCAACTCATTTATAATTAGTGTACATAAATGTCTTTTAAATGTTCAACTAGAAGAGACTTCCGTATACAAATAACACATGGCTATCTAGTGAAGACAAGTAGAAAAGCACTATAACTACTGCTTCAGTCACATATTTGATGCCATCGTGACTAAATAACCTCGATTCATGTTAACAAACATGTGCTTTGAGGGAGTTGTAGGGATTTGGAAATATTCCAAGTTGTTATTCATTGTGGACTGACATCAGTTGAGGGAACAAAAGGAACTTGGAAGTACTGGACAGGTGTTTCGTCCTAGTATGGGACTCCTCAGCAGTGCGCACCTACGACCCCTCCAGGGATCGAACCCGCGACCGGTGGGGGCAAAGCCTGATGGTCGTGAGTATAGTTACTCAGTGATGACATTGGGTGGCGGTCGTGCTATATCGTGAGCTAACAGAAGTTGAAAATATAGAGCATTGGATTCTGACCCAGTGTCTCAATGGTAGCGTGCTGACCAAGGAAGCTGAAGGTCCTGGGTTCGATCCCTGCTGGTGGGGTCGTGGGTGCGCACTGCCGAGGAGTTCCATACTAAGACGAAACACCTGTCCAGTGCTTCCAGGTTTCCTTCTTTCCTCCAAATGATGTCAGTCTACAACTCGAAACATGCGTTCACTGTCAATATATTTCGCTTTTCTACAAGAATGAATGCTACTTACAACATGATGGAATCTAGGCATTATTTTCACACAACCAAACGGACTTTACTCAAAATATTTCGAAGCCTAAACAGTGAATAGATAAGTATTCTCACTTCAAAATCAAAAGAATGTTTGCTTTTTTTGACTTTTGACTTCTCAACAGAATTAACAACACGGTTAGAGTACTAGGAGCTTCATATCTAAAGCTTGGCATGTCTTGCCAAATAATCCGAGTTGAATTAAAGCTTACGATTTTCACTAATCTGAACAACTTTAGACTTATATGCGTTGCTTGAGATACCATATTATAAGATTTCACTCAAAGGGAAGCTGTTCATATCGTTCAAATTTTGTAAATGTACTTACGCATGACCTTGGTTTTGGGGGTTTTGTATATGAATTGTGGTTAGCAATGGATTTAAGAAGACAAGCATCAAATCACTGAGGCATACTGATCAGCTGTTCTTGTTCGCTGACGACTTTATATTCCTCTACGGATTGGATGCAAAAAATCTAAACGTTAGAACGATTCCTAAGATCTGAGTATTACCTCACTTACATACCTGGAATGATTATTCCACCGCAAAATAGGACCAATGATACTAGTTCACTTAACGAACTCTGTCAGATAAAAAAAAGCATAAAATTCCTACTTGTTGATGATTCGAAACCTTCGTAAATTAATAATTTTTTGGAAGAAACACTAAAATGTCACCAAGAATTCACGAATTGAACAAAGAGGGACAAATTCTCTTCATACTGAAATTTATAGCTAAGGAATATATGGGAAACCTCGCCTGGTTAACTAGTTCACTAGTTACTAGCCGGTCCTAAGCCCGGGTAAAGAAGGAAGGTTGGGCATAGGGCTAGCAACCCTATCCCGTAAAACAAACCTAACCGCTAAACAAACTTCAAAGCACAAACGAAATATAAAAAATAAAAACAAAATTATTCCTCGCTGGAATCGGAGAGGCGAAATGACACCAGTTGGTGAAAGCCTTCGGGAAGCCAATTGGCCGATGTGTCTTCTCTCGATGAAAGCGAAAGTAAACGTGGGGACATGGAATGTCCGCACGATGTTTGAACCCAGTAAGGCAGCCCAGATTGCAAAGGAGATGAGAAGGTATCACATCGAAGTGCTTGGGATTTGCGAAAGCAGATGGAATGGGAGTGGACTCTCCAAACTGTCAACTGGAGAATCAATAATCTACTCCGATATTGTCACCCAGACGCCAACCACGAGCACACTGAGTTATGGAGTGGCTATCATGGTGTCCTCAAGAGCATCGAAGGCCTCTCTCATGCAGTGGGAACCAATCACCTCCAGGATCAGGATCATGACAGCAAGATTCAACTCAAAAGGAAGGAAGGTAACAATCATACAATGCTACGCCATGCACCTACAAATAATGCAGAGCAAGAGAAAAAGGAGGAATTCTACAGACAACTTCAATCAACACTGGACAAGACGTCAGTTGGTGATATCAAAATTCTGATGGGCGACATGAATGCCAAACTGGGAGGGGACAACACAGGAAGAGAACTAACCATGGGTCGAGAAGCGGTCGGTGAGTGATGAACGAGAATGGGGAATTGTTTGCAGAATTCTGTGCATTCAACGATTTGGTGATTGGAGGCGAGGCAGTGCGTTCAAGCACAAGGACATCCACAAAGCGACATGGATTTCACCAGACACTAGGACACACTAAAAATCAAATCGACTTTATCTCAATCTCAAGAAAATGGAGACGCAGTCTACTTAACACAAGGTCAAGAAGAGGAGCAGATGTAGGTTCAGACCACTATCTAGTACAAGCAACCTTCCAAATCAAGTTAAAAGCCTTCAAGGAAGCTGGTGATAGACCTCGATTCAAGTACAACACTCGGAAACTGAAGGATGAAACTACAAAGGAGATCTTCAAGGCAGCCATCAAGACAAAATGGGAGATATCGAGGAACATCCCTGAAGAAACCGGTGTGCAAGAACACTGGAAGTCTTTGAAAGGGATGTGGAAAGAAACCTGCACAACAGTATTAGGAAGGAAGAAGAAAGGGGAAGACAAGGAATGGATCTCGACGGACACCTGGAAGCTGATAGAGGAGAGGAGGATGGTGAAGCAGAAGATAAGCCAGTGCAAGGATTCTCAACGATAAGAGGAACTGAGCACAGTGTATAAAACACTGGACAAAGAAGTGAAGAAGAGTGCACGCAAAGACAAAAGACACTTCTACGAAACACTGGCAAGTGAAGCAGAACAGGCTGCTGGTAGAAGAGACAGAGACCTGACGACATTGTATCAAATAACCAGGTTGCTATCAGGGAAGAGACCAACACAGATGAAACCAATAAAAGATGAAGAAGGAAATTTGATTACGAAAGAAGAGAAACAGAGGAAACAATAGGTCGACCACTTCAAGAAGCTCTTGAATCGACCACCACCTGCACTTCGTCCAGAAATACCACCTGCAGCCGCCGAACTACAAGTTAACATAAATCCTCCAACAAAAATGAAATCCTGAGTGCCATAAAGCTACTGAAATGCGGGAAAGCAGCAGGACCAGATGGGATACCGCCAGAAGCACTGAGAACAGATGCAGAGACAACAGCGGACATGCTCACACCACACCACTATTGCAGAAGGTGTGGAAGGAAGAGAAGGTACCTGGCTAGTGATTGGAAGAAGGGTTACCTTGTCAAACTGCCGAAGAAGGGAGACCTCAGTGCTTGCAAGAACTGGCGCGGAATCACTCTCCTGTCCACCCCAAGTAAAATATTAAGCCGCATCATCCTGGAGAGGCTTAAGGATGCACTGGATTCAAAACTACGACCGGAACAGGCAGGCTTCAGGAAGTACAAATCATGTGCAGACCAAATTGCAACGCTTCGCATCATCATAGAACAGAGTATAGAATGGCAATCAGCTCTCTGCCTCAACTTCATCGACTTTGGGAAGACCTTTGATAGCGTCAACCGAGAGGTAATTTGGAACCTGCTTCATTTCTACGGAGTACCGCAAACCATTATCCGCCTCATTCAACAACTATATGAAGATGCCACATGCCAAGTAATTCACAATGGGAAGCTCAGTGATGCCTTTGAAGTGAAGACAGGAGTGAAACAAAGTTGCCTACTATCCCCCATGATATTCCTGATTGTGGTTGACTGGACTGGATCATGCAGCAAACAGTGGGGAGCGAGAAGAAGGGGATACGCTGGACCACGGAAAAGAACCTAGAAGATCTAGATTTCGCCAACGATGACTTGTGTCTGATGTCACATAAACTTGAAGATCTACAGGCGAAAACTAACAAGTTGACAGAAGAGGCAGGGCAGCGAATACGGGACTTCAAGTGAATATAGAGAAGACAGAGGTGATGAAGATACCCAACCAACAACACCAACAACCACAACAACAAGATCCAATCACCATCAACGAGAGAAACTTAAAGGAAGTAACCTCCTTCACCTGTCCAGGAAGCACTATTTCAACTACAGGCGGCAGTGGCACAGACGAGGATGTCAAAGTCAGGATCGGAAAAGCAAGACAGGCTTTCATTAGCCTGAAACCAGTGTGGAGATCGACTGCACTCAGCATGCGGAGCAAGATGCGGATTTTCAACACCAACGTGAAGTCAGTGCTTCTGTATGGCTCAGAGACTTGGCGTGTTACGAAAGGGATTTCCAATAAACTACAGACATTCATCAATAACTGCCTACGTTGGCTCGCTACTGAAGATCAGATGGT